CAATAGGGCCTTCGCCCTTTCAGGGCTTGGGCCCTAATAATAGGAAGGAAAACAATAGGGCCTTCGCCCTTTCAGGGCTTGGGCCCTAATAAGAATCCTAAGGAAAACAATAGGGCCTTCGCCCTTTCAGGGCTTGGGCCCTAATAATCCCAAGGAAAACAATAGGTCCTTCGCCCTTTCAGGGCTTGGGCCCTAATAATAATCTTTTTTTTTCATGCATATGTAGTGGACAAATTGGTCCTATTTGTTACAGGTTTGACAAAAATGACTCTAAATGCATTAGCCTACTAAATAATTTTACATATACATTACTATCATTACTTTTTTCAGGTTGAGTTACTAAATTTAATTTAATAGGTCCTTCGCCCTTGGGCCCTAATAATAATCCTAAAGAAAATAATAGGGCCTTCGCCCTTTCAGGGCTTGGGCCCTAATAATAATAATAATAATCCTAAGGAAAACAATAGGGCATTCGCCCTTTCAGGGCTTGGGCCCTAATAATAATCTTTTTTTTTCATGCATATGTAGTGGACAAATTGGTCCTATTTGTTACAGGTTTGACAAAAATGACTCTAAATGCATTAGCCTACTAAATAATTTTACATATACATTACTATCATTACTTTTTTCAGGTTGAGTTACTAAATTTAATTTATATTAATTTATAGTATGAGCCCCTGATTATATGTTGCACGTTCTCTTGTTTTTTTTTTTTTTTGACAAACCATACATTTATGAAAATGGATGGATTTATAGCGTTTTGAAAAAATAAAATAAAATTAACTTTTAATTTATCATAAACAATATTGTTGTTTAATTTAATAATCATTGTTCAACATGTTCAGACTGAACCAATAAAACATTTTATTAGGATAATTTCATTTTCATCACAAAATGTGTGGGTCTAGGTAAAAAATTTAATTTTCCTGAAAACTACTGAAATGGATTTATAGCGTTTTGGAAAATAATAACTTTACATCTTTATATTTATAGTCTTTAGCAGTTCTGTAAAAAAAAATGTGTGTATGCGCATGTGTGCTTATGATGACATCAAAATGTTTCTCAGTTGTGTGTGTGTCACATATTAAATGTTTTAGAATATAACACAACATTCAAATGCAAATCTGCGCCCTCCCCCACTTGAAACTAAGCCATGTGTCCACCAAAGCGTTTTTCCACGCGCCTGGCGTATGTTTTCAATTGTTTTCAATGGGAGCGCCGCGTTTTTTTTAAACGCCATGAGTGTACAGCTCCTGAGATTAGGCTGCCGTTTTTAGTATGTTGTTTTTTCTTCAAATAATTCAAGAACAATATATACAAATTGAACATGGTTTATTTTTTTAAAACTTTAAAACTGGCCTTTTACTTTTCCTGATGATTCCTCTGGTAGCTTTTGTTTGAAGGCATTCAATTGCTTCAAAAACACTAACGTTAGTAACATTACTGCACTTTATCACAAAAGTGAGTTCGGGAAGAAATATCTGTAAAAAAATACTGCCGATTTAAGTTTCTTTTTTGTAAGCAAAAAGGACGGAGGCTTGCGCCCCTGTATTGACTACCGGACTCTTAATAACTCCACTGTCAAGTATCAATATCCTCTACCTCTGGTCCAGGCCGCTCTAAAACAACTTTGTGGTGCTCGGATCTTCACTAAACCCGACTTACAATTTGGTGAGGATCAGGAAAGGAGACGAGTGGAAGACTAGGTTCATTACCCCTGCTGGCCACTACGAATATCGGGTCATGCCCTTTGGGTTGTCCATTGCTCCGGCAGTGTTTCAAGGGTTCATGAACGAGATCTTCAGGGACTATTTACACCAGTTTGTCATCATCTATATAGACGATATATATTCATATACTCAACCAACTTGTCCGAGCACCACCATCATGTCCAATGAAATGAAATGTGAGTTCCATCAAGAAACCATTCACTTCCTGGGTTATGCGATTTCTTCTCACGGGATCACCATGGACCAAAGGAAAGTTGTCTACCGCAGATTCATTCAAGGTTTCGGTCAGATCAGTGCACCCATCACTTCTCTCCTGAAAAAAGGGGCCAAGTCTCTGCCCTGGAACTAATGCCACTAACGCATTTGAGGAACTCAAAGCCTCTTTCAGCTCCGCTCCTACCCTCATCCATCCAGATCCTGATCTTGCTTTTCTCATTGAGGTTGACGCCTCCATCACAGGGGAAAGAGCGGTACAATCACAGCGACAGGGGTATCCTCCTCGATTACATCCATGTTCCTTCTTTTCCAAGGAGCAGAATTACGATATCGGCAACCGGGAACTTCTGGCGATCAAACTCGCTGTCGCTGTCTTAAAGGAAAACTCCACCGTTTTTTTAAATAGTGCTTATTCACATCCTTTCCTACATTTAGATATGTATGCAAATGCATTTTTGTCTCAGTGCATGCATTGTTTTAGTTTGACAGGGTCGGCGCTAGCTTAGCTTAGCACAATGAATGGAATCCTTTGTTGCCAGCTAGCATGTCCTGAGTAAAAGTGATTAAAAAAAATAAACAAACCCACGTAATTACTTCTTGTGGCCTGCGTATTCACAACAAGTACAAATTTCTATGCAGATTAACACTAGGCGATTTCCTAGGCAGATATTGACTTGGGACTATATTGGGGGAAGCACAGGCGAAGCACTGCTTCATTGAAGCACTGAACTTCAATGTAACAGGGAAGATCTCACTTTAATCAAATACGCTGATGACTTGGTTTTAATTTCTTGCCAAACAGACATAAATTGTTATTTTGAGTATATTAAAAGTCTTGTACAATGGTTTGATGACAGTCATCTAGAATTGAACATTGAGAAGACAAAGGAATTGTGTTGTAGGAATCAAAATAGTACAGGTACGGCTGGCCTCCCATATGAACAAGTTACTATAAAAGGTGTAAAGGAAGAGCAATTTTCAAATTTTAAATATTTAGGTACAATTATTGATGACAAACTCTCATCCCAGGAAAATGTGGACCATATACAAAAGAAAACAAGACAGCATTTAGGTCTACTCAAGAAGTTAAGAAATTTTAGTATTGATAGGAGGATCCTTAATATTGTTTACAGATCGATGATTGCAAAGCATTAAGGATGAATTTCTGTCCAGGAAATCTGAACAGACAATAAAGTCAAACTAACACTGCATGAAAATAGGTGTATCCGGACCAGTATACTCCTGTATACACTGCTGAAATTCGGAAGAATCCAGGAGTATAGTGGCCGGATATGTCAAATTCCATGGGTTTGTATATATCCGCATACATCCGGAATGATACCAAATCGGATGTATGTTGTGGACGTATACTTCCGTGCTAGAGCCATTTGTTGCCATGGCAAGTAATCCCATTAAAGCAGGGAAAAAAATCACACCTTTTTGCAGGAAACATTCACACCTTTTTGCCTTCCAACCAAACTGGATTGGTTGTTCTTTTAAAGCCACTCCCAACACCCAGACCACTATTGGAGGGCAGGACACATTGAAAACCCAGTAAACGGACTTTATTGGTTACTTTTAAACATGGCCCACCCTAGGCCTTGTAGCATACTGATTTGATTGGTTATATACCAGCTATGCAGATATTGCTCAAATATATACCAAACCTCCCTCCCCCAATTTTAATATATTCATTAAAATAAATTTGATATATATATATATTTATATTTATATTTAAACACACAAAGAACAATGGGAAAGTCTGAAATTTTTATTAAGGTATATAACACATTCCAAATAGCATTATAAACAAGCATTACAGAGGAATTGGGAACAAAAACTAGAAAAAAAAGTATGAAGTAATAACATCTCAAAGGAAGAAAAAAAAATCATGGACATTCCAAAGAAAATTATAAACATACATTAAATAATTTGTTAACTTTTTATTTTCGTTAATTTTTTTTTACCCAATCATTTTAAAGGACAGATGTAAAGGAATAAAGTACACAGTGTATATAAAAAGTTACATATATATATATATATAAAATATATGAAGAGTTCCATTTGAAATTTTCTCCTTTAATGATGATTTTTATCAAACTTGTGTATTTAAGTTCAGTAATTTCTCTTAAATGGCAATGATAATTGCCTATTAATTGTTATTTAAGTGAAATTACTAAACTTAAATATACAAGTTTGATAAAAATCATCATTAAAGGAGAAAATTTCAAATGGCATTTAGAGGCTTTTGCATCTGAACTCTTCATATACTGTATATATATATATATATATATATATATATATATATATATATATATATATATATAAAAAATATACGTAGATATTCCAAGTAAACAATATAAATAAATAGAACATTACAGAGAGTGCATTATAAACATACATTAAAATGCAAACAAGTAAACAAAATGGAGATAAGCAACATGGACAACAAAAAAAGGAACAAATATATGAAATAATACGAGAAAAGTAAATAAGAAATTAAAGTGTATATAAAATATTCAAGGTGTACACTGCCGTTTATAAGTTTGGGATCGGTAAGAAGTCTCATATGTTCGCCAAGGCTGCTTTTTTTTTATATATAAAAAATACAAAAAAAGTAAGAGTAATATTGTTAAATATTATGACAATTTAAAATAAACGTTTCTATTGGAATACATTATTCTTGTGATCAAAGATGAATTTTTAGCATCATTACTCCAGTCTTCAGTGTCACATGATCCTTCAGAAATCATTCTAATGTGATGATTTGATGCTCAATAAATATTCATTATTATTACCAAAGTTGAAAACAGTTGTAGACTTTTTAGGATTATTTGATCAATAGAAAGTTATATTTCATTTATTTGAAATATGATGTTTTGTAACATTATAAATGTCTTTACTGTCACGTTTGATTCATTTAATGCATCCTTGCTGAATAAAAGTATTGAGTTAATTTGAGCTATCCCCCCCAAAAAAAAAAAAAAAATATCTTACCGACCCCCAAACTTTTGAACGGTTATATATATATATATATATATATATATATATATATTTTTTTTTTTTTTATACGAGTTAACATTTTTCAAACTGCCATGATACGCTGGTGGTGTGACGCATAGTGTGGGTCAGCCTCTAGTCTGTTTTATAGTACCTAGCAGAGAGCAGATTGGTGGAGACCTCACCATTCACACTGGCCTTCCATCAACAATAGCATCATCTTCATCAGACATCAGTTCTATTGTTGCGGTCTTCCAAAGTTCCTTTTCTGTGTTGGTTTGTACAACCCCGGACCTGGTCTCCAGCAACTGAAAAACATGACAGTAACTTAACCACTAAAACACAGAGAGGAGGATAGTTACATTCTGAAGAGAAAAAAAAGTGCTTAACCAGTTTCTTAACTTACCAGTCGCTTTCTTTGAAGGTTCTTTGCAATGCTCGTCATAGTTTTTCTTTTCTGGGCCTTTTCAGGCTGAGCCAAAGAATACTTCCTCCGCAAAGTCTCAAAATACATCTTCCAACCTGCTAAATATATCATAAATAAATGTAATGGCAATAAAAATAAGTAAAACAGAGGACAATAAAATGATTACAACATCTTTAAGATTACCTTTTACACATTCAGGGTCAACGTCTGTAAAAGTTGACCTTAATTCTTCGAAGAGGTAAGTGGTCACAGCCAGGTTATGTGATGAATTTATTCTGGGGGGGAAAGTTGCAGGTATCATTACTGAAATTCACTTTTGGCATTCCAAATCCATAGAGTAGTAGATTAAACTAACATTTAGGCTATAGTATATAAGAAACAGTCTTACCTGGTTTGTGGAACGTATTTGTGTGGGTTGTTCTCTGAATTATGGAGGCGCCTTACAGATTCCTGTAAAGTTTGAAATTAAAAAGCAATTAAATTGATTCACAATCTTCAAGAACCACAAAACTGAATTTTCAGTTGGAATAAGCTGACCATCACAGTAACCGCAAGAGACAAAACAATAATTGTAACCGAACTATGGCTTACAGCCACGTTATAGAACAATAATTGGACTTACCGCAATGTTCACGTCATGTGCCTTTTTTATTCTTTTCGAAGCGTTGTAAGATTCTTCATGTAACGTTAGTCTGTGCTGCTCATACTTTCGCTAAAGAGCATCAAGACGCTGGAGAGTCTCTCTGAGAAGATCAGGTTGTGGCCAAAGACAGATTGATCCTCCCATTGTGATTCTGCATCACAGCTGTGGGGCATGTGGATGTGATCATCCTCATAGTTATCCACTGCATTACTGACTCTCATTGATGCATCTATGGAAATATTATAACCATAAACATTTTTTACATTAGTAGCTACTTAAAATAGATCATGGAGAATTCATTGATGATGGCACCCATAGTTACACAGAACAGTGTGTGAGAAAGATACATTAATTAAAAACGAAACAATACACAATCTCCTAACTCGCCATAAGTCAATATCAATATCTGAATGAGAGATGTAGCTAGCTGGCCTGCTAGCATCAGCAATCTCTGTATAGACCATTTCACAAGATTTCACAAGCACTTCCTGTTTCAGTTTTAACACTGTATAAACGTTGGGTTAAAGTACAACCAACAGAACAACTGAATCAAAAAGTTAAACAAACATATTCAAGATATTTTCTTTACATTTGAAATTAAGAAGCCTTTTACAAACTGAAACAGGAAGTGCATCTGGACCAGTGTTGTTTACATCTCGTAATGTGCAATAGCAGTAATGTGAGCTATTGTAAGACTAATGTAAGTTACCATACTATCTTGTACTACCGTGAATATTCATTCATTCATTCTTTCAGACTCTTAGGTCAATATCACAAAGTTAAATAAATAACATGTATATGTGGGCAATGGTAATCATGCAAGATTCATTGTATTTTGTTTACGGCTTGTTACTGATCTTAAAAGCATTCATAGAACGGACTTCACGAATCTAAAGTTAGGCAAACAAGCACATAACAGTTAGGCAAGTTAGCTTACCTGAATCTGACAATATTCAACACCCGGCGTGACTTCTTTATCGGAACATCGTAGCCGAGCCATTTCTGGGGTGTTCCTCAATCGGATTCCCGTCCTTAGGCCCTGTTAACACGAGAACGCTCGCGGGTGAAAACGTAAAAATATTTTATCGGATGTGCCTTTCGTTTACACGGCGATGGCGTTTTTGAGGCTCAAAAACGCAAAAAAAGTGAAACCACCCCCAGAGTGGAAATCTTAAATCTTACCCGTGTAAACGATATAAACGCAAAAGTTTGCTTGACGGTGAAAGTTGTACGCAGGCGCGTGGACTTGGTGTTGTTGTAGTATGCACTCCTAGCCGCCTGAAGTGCATACTACATTGAATTTCACACACTTTTGCGTCTCCATTTGCACGCGGATTTCTCACACAAAACGCTCGTCTAAACGCAGAATAAAAAAAAGATGACGCAACGCCACTTTTGCGTTTTCTCATCAGAATCGTTTCCGTGTTTAGCCTCAGTTGGGCACTTTCAAGCCTATGCTTCCAAATGTAACGTTAGTGCCTTCCGCCATTGCCTCCGGTGCTCCTCGTCTTTAGGTGGTGGGTGTAGCTAAATCGTAAAGTGCACCACAACAACAATCTGACCGCCTCACATTATGTTCGTTACACCGTTGGTCCAATTGTTCTCTCCTCTTAATCCAACTGTTATGGCAGCACCTAACTGAACATTTAATACTTGACATATTTTACCGTTCGTTTCAACTAGCGCAGAATCTCATCCCTCTCATGAGCCGGAAGTTGAAGTCTTTCTCAGACGGGAGTAAGATGACAAAACGAACGCAATGGCGTCACCCTTGTTGTCGTGCAAAATAAGGTGAATAGAAAAAAACTGTTTCCAAACCTCGAACTGTTCTCTTTTCTTCGGGAAAGAATGCTGTAATTTTAAAGTATTTTTCTCGCAGCTTGAAGCAATACACTAACGTTATTGGTTGCACCTCCATTACGTCACCACATTGTTGTGTTTATGGTTGTGAGTGGTGAATTTCAAACCTCAAAACGCCCCCTTTTCTTGCATCTTGTTTGTTTGCGGAAGAACTTATTCACTCAAACCACAAACCTCGGTATGACGCGTTGCAAGTGAATCTATTTAATTTTGTGAATAAATATGATGCAGCTGGACTTACCTTTCAACATGGAAGGATAACCAGCTGCTGACAATAACACGGGAAAGCCCGGTGGTTTTGCGACCACTCGTTTCACATCATGCATGCCCAAAGAAGCATGGATTAACTCTGCCAAAACCGTGATGTCATTGTCCATCTCAGTTCAGATCTCATATAATGGTGTCAATGCAGGCAGTTCAATAACATTGTTGAATATTAAATAAAAATGTCCCCAACTAAGCAAAGCCAATGGCGACAAATGTTGTTGTCTGCAATTTGTAAAACTTCACAATAAAAATTTAGATATTCTGAAATGTTTCCCTGTATTTTTTATTTCATTAAATATTCAGATGTTTTTGTGAACGTATATTCATGGTGTTTATTTTGTCCTGTTTTTATAAAAGAATATTTGATTAGGATACTTTTTTTCATACAGTGGTTTTAAGGCCCTGACACAGGCGACATAACTTAAGCCTACCCTAGAGTTGGCTTTAGTCATTGCTAGTTCTTTGACGTCGGTTTTCTGTTTCAGGGCCTTAAGAATTTATTTATTTTTCTGTACAAAAAACTTGTTTGCTGTAGACCAGAGATAATTTTCAATCCTGAAGTCCCCTGCCACTCCTCCCTCTGAGAACAGCCAGCACCCTTAGTGTCAGTCATTAACATATGAAAGGTCTTCTTCACACCTCTCACACCCAGCAGTGTTTCAGCTGTATATGTCCGTGAAATTTCACGGATTCCTGTATATGCCCGCTTAGGTGAGTTTTCCGGGTTTGTCTGGAAATATACTGTTCCGTGTTACTCTGATCCGCTTTTTCCCACATACATCCAGCAAACATCAAATTGCACAGGAGTTTACCATGCCCGGATATTGCCGGATTTGAGTCTTTTCATGCAGTGTAACATGACAGTATGACAGTATGACAGCATGACAACGCTTCAATGATAGCAAGACTTCACTCCAAAACACATCTAATTATCAAAAAAAAAAAATGGCTTCAACAAAGATAGATACATTTTTTAGGAATGGCTAAGCCAGAGACCAGACCTGAATCCGACAGAAAATCTGTGGAGGGACCTAAACAGGCCTGTGCACAGAGAAGCCCTCGCAATTTAACAGATCTGGAATGTGTTTGCAAAGAACAGTGGGAAAATATTCCAAAGTAAAGATGTGCCAAGCTGATAGACATATCCAAACAGACTGAGTGATGTAATAAAATCAAAATAGTGCTTCAGCTAAGCATTCATTCAGGGATGTGATGTTTTTCTCTCTCTCTGAAATGTGACTTTGGTATTCAGTGGCAATGCCTAGTGTGTAATTTTTTTAATTAAAGGTACCAAGTTCTAATATTATTTATCTTGGTTTAATTTTTTACATCACAAAAAAACAGCTGCCCCAGGGATTTGGAGACGTGTTATATCCAGTGTAAATATAGCAGTTTAACATTAAAAGTTTAGTTCCAAAAAACATCCTGTGTGCTTGACACAAATAAAAACAAAAGATTTTTTGTTATTACTACAGGACACAGTGAGTGTATATTAACAGCATTTGTCGTTTGTTTTTGGGATCTGATAAAGAATTTGGACCCATTAACAGTGTCTATCTAGTTGTTAAGTCTGATGTTGTGAATCACACTGTGTGTCACTTACAGAGCAAGGACCAATCCAGAAGTTCTCCTGCTGCACATGCTTTACACTCTCATAAATTCCTTTGTTTCTCAGTACCTTAAAAAAAGAGGAAAAAGGAATGGAATGGATAATGGGCAACCAAATGTATAATAAACAGTTTTGTAATTGCTCTTGTGGAATTACACGTCAAGTCAAGTCACGTCACCTTTATTTATATAGCACTTTTTACAATACATATTGTATCAAAGCAACTTCACAGTGATAACATGAAAATAATACAACAAAGTTGTATTGTTTTTAGAAGAAAATTGTGTCAACATCCACCTTAAGTAAGGCAGATCAATAATATTGTTGAATATTATCCACAACTAAGCAAGCCAAAATATCAGACCAGGCCCCCACAGAAAAAGCTGCATAATGTTTGACATAACAGATGTAAAATGGACTTCTATAATTACATAATATAGATAATATTATGCTTAGAGGTCTTCTAAACACTCTTTTTGTTATCTTACCAGCTGAGTAGTGGTGTGCTGGGCAAAGCCCACAGGAGCAAATCCATATGTAATGCAGGCCAGCAGTGTTATGACAATATGCACGAAGGTGATCCAGTAGGTAAAATATGGCCTGACAAAGAAACAATGAATGATCACATCTTTCTCTGAATAGTTTAAAAGCAACATCTAAGGCTGCAAAGTTTCTGGTGATTTTGAGGAGCCTAATTGGGCTTTTTTTACTCACCGATGACTGTGAAAATCTTCTAGTTGTTTCTGTACTTGGCTGCTGAGGCTGCCTCTATAGTGTCGGTTCAGCCACTTCCCCACCACACCCATCCCATACTGACGCTTCTGCTTATCAAACGCAAAGTGCTTCACTTTGGAGGCAATTCGACCACCACGATGAGAAGAGGCTTTCCTAGAGGATGTCACAGTTTTGGGGATTTTCTTTTTTCCTCTGGAGAAAAAGAGAAAAGTAACAGTAAGATTAAATCAGGTGAGTACTAAAGTGAAAAGCTACTGAATAGGCTTTTGTAAGGCATGTTATAATTGTATACTGTCATAATTTAAATTCTTTAAAACATCTGCTTTTAACTTACAAACTAGGGAATAATATTCCCTCGCCCAAAGAAACTTTTGCCACAGGACAAGAGGCTGATAAAGGGGGTGACTCAAAAACATCATCTGCCATAGAATAAAGCTCCTCATGAACATCAGCCTGTGAAAGAGAGGAACAGAGACATTAATTAAAACGTGTACACATTATAGACAGACAGACAGACAGACAGACAGACAGACAGACAGACAGACAGACAGACAGACAGACAGACAGACAGACAGACAGACAGACAGACAGACAGACAGATAGATAGATAGATAGATAGATAGATAGATAGATAGATAGATAGATAGATAGATAGATAGATGCAAATAAATATTTGAACACCTGAGAAAATCAATGTCAATATTTGGTATAGTAGCCTTTGTTTGCAATTACAGAGGTCAAACATTTCCTGTAGTTTTTCACCAGGTTTGCACACGCTGCGGGAGGGATTTTGGCCCACTCCTCCACACAGATCTTCTCTAGATCAGTCAGGTTTCTGGGCTGTCGCTGAGAAACACAGAGTTGGAGCTCCCTCCAAAGATTCTCAATTGGGTTTAGGTCTGGAGACCTTCCTCCAAACACGGTTAGTGGAATTATGACCAAAAAGTTCTATTTCGGTCTCATCTGACCACCTGACTATCTCCCCTGACTCCTCTGGATCATCTAAATGGTCATTGGCAAACTTAAGACGGGCCTTGACATGTGCTGGTTTAAGCAGGGGCACCTTCCGTGCCATGCATGATTTCAAACCATGACGTCTTAGTGTATTACCAACAGTAAGCTGGACAGCTCTTTGGTCTTGGCCATGTTAGTAGTTGGATTCTTACTGATTGCATGAGGTGGACAAGTGTCTATGCAGCTAACAACCTCAAACAGGTGCATCTAATTTAGGATAATAAATAGAGTGGAGGTGGACATTTTAAAGGCAAACTTACAGATATTTGAGGATCAGAATTCTAGATGATAGACAAGTGTTCAAATAATTATTTGCAGCTGTATCACAAATAAATATTTTTAAAATATCATATATTGAGATTTCTGGATTTTTTTTTATAGATTATGTCTCACAGTGGACATGCACCTACGAGTAAGAGCACTTAAGAGTACTTATGTAAATATACTTTTTAAAATAATAAACGTAAGTTCAAACAATGCAAAATTGAAATTGAATGCAATTAGTTAAAGTGGGTAATAAAAGCACTCTTAATGAAACCTTTTCATGTAACTTCACAATTCTATTGTCTTTGAAATATGGTTGAAGTATCTTGCCAAAGGTACCGACAAACATTTAGTCAACACATCAAAAAAAGTGTGACATAAAAAGTTTATTAAATTAATTATTTAAAAAGTACTTTAAGTCAAATGTTTAATTTATTACAAAGTGCAATTTTGCGATACATATTTGTGTTAATAAACAGTCATGAATGTGTTCTCTGAGCAGGCTTAAATAGCAATTAATATATTATTATCTGCAAGTGCAGTTTTCAAAACAAAATATAGGCTACTTATAAGATTTGAAGATTTCAATTCAAGTAAGCACAGAGGAGAGGAAAAGATTGGAGACAAACCCAGATAAATATACGCACTTTGCTAAAAAAAACTGAATCAGAGGTGTCCACTGTATCCACAGTGTCTTCCTCGAGCCAGCTGTGACGAGCAAAACTCCTCCTCTGATATCCACGTCCAGTTTGAGTGCCCTGTAGACCCTGTCGACCCTACAGAACCATAACATGTCAGGAGAAGACAGTTACCACATGACAACTTTTATTGAAATATAATACAAGGAAACAAAAGGTAATAATAATATTTGAACTCAGCCAATTAGCCATAATAGAACTGAACAATTCATATATAATGATCAAAGAGGTACAAAATATACTCATTACTAATTTATCATAATCATGCAGGTGATTGTTCACCTTAAAATGAAAATTAAGTCATCATTTACTCAGTTTTGTTCAAATGTAGTATTGTTTTTCTTTTTGGATCAAAAAAGGAGAATTAAAAAGAAAATGTCCGACTCATGCTCATCCATATAATGGCAGTGAAAAGTGACCAGTCTTGGTCTTCTATGCACTGCTACACAACGTGCGCGTTCGATGAGACTCTATTAGTGCTGCAGTTCACTCCATGAACTACATGACATGAAATACAATACCTAGAAAGAATTTGTGTACTTTCTTCAGTGAGTTAAATATCTCTGGACCGGAACTCCTTTTTTCTGATTAAAGTAGAATGACAGTTGACAAATGTGAGCGCAAAAAAATCTTGTTACAACGAATTAGGGCAGCTCGATTGTGGCAAAAATCATAATGACGATTATTTTGGTGATTACTGATTCAAGATTACTGATTTGATCAACGTCTTATTTCATAATATGAGTGTTTTTCGATATAGTTAAAATTTCACAATTATAGATAAGCTACTTCAGCAAAAATCTAATACTGGCAATACAAAAGAGTAAAATAAGTCAAAACAGTTACAGAAGACAAGTAAACAGTCAGCAATACAATAAGAACAAAGAAACTAATTACGAACTAAATTGAAAAATAAATACAAAAGATCAAAAAATACAAATTAAAACCCAGTGCTTTAAGTTTTTCAGGCAGATGTGCTAACAGTAAAAATTCAGATATGTAATAGTCTACAACAGAAACTGAAAAAAGTAATCAAATGTTAAATAACAATGTATAGTCTTAACTGTAGATTAATCCTTATTAAAGCTACAGCAGTTATTAATTCAAGAGCAGTCAATGATTTTACCTATGTTTGATTAACATTAATGACACAGACTGAAGAAATGATATTGAGCTGCTGTCACTTTAAAGGTCCAGTTCTTCATGTTTTTTAAAGCTTTGATTGTGTTTACAGTGTGCAATATAACATGTGTTCATGTTTTGTGTGTAAAAAACACTGTATTTTTCACACAATTTACTTATCTGTATACTGCTGTTTTCACTGTCCAAAAAACGGCCCGATGACTTCCTTGTTCTATGAAGTCCCTCCTTCAGAAATACGTAACAAGTTCTGAATGTGCCATCGAACCGCCGTTTTGTGATTTGACAGCAGCTTATCGCACGTTGCCCGGAAACGTCACGCCTCTTACCATAAATTGGAGATGCATGCGCAGCTGCTGCTTCTCAATGGGAGCGCAACAAGACCACGCCCCCTATTTTTGTGTATTCCTAATTATGTCATTAAAAAAGGAAGTAGAGGGATGTAGTCCAAACCGGGTGTTCGCTGTATGCTTTGAAAGGGGACTTCTGTTAAATAAAATATATCGCTATTCATTAAACATTGAGCTTTATATTTTTACAGGTATTATTTATGCTCTAACAGCAACATTACACACTAACTAAAGTTTGAAAAATGGAATCGCGAAGAACGGGACCTTTAAGACCGAATGCATGGATCCAATATACTTTTTTGTTTACATTCACTAAACACATAAAAGACATTTCTGAGAGTAGACTATTTGACCATTTAGGTGTGAATCCAAAGCCCACATAATACTTTGCTTATATGTGACCCGCTCTGGCGAAATGAGTCATAACGTTCCATTATAAGATATGGGCCAATTATGTGGAAAACAATTAAATAACATGTTGTTGTTGTTGTTGTTGCTTTTTAAAAAATAAACTCCCAAGGTTTTGTAGTCCAGATAATTTATTAAAGTTATTTAAATGACTATTAAAGTTAACAAAGCTTTGCTAAATTCGCTGGAAATAAACATTGCTTTTCTCAACTCCCCTCGTCACCTCTGAGCATTTCCCGGGTATCCCCTGAAACTCAGTGTTGAACTCACTGGAGGCTTCTAACCTAAGCTGTTTGAGTATATTTATCTGCAAGAAGAATCCATTTAAGGCAGTAACGATACGTAATATAAAACCGAAATCTTGACATTCAGATCCACGAACCTGTGAGAAGGCAGAATCACAACACACCCCTCCAACTCCGAGTTATCCTTCCCGTCCAGATCTACTGCTACCACATCTTTAAATTACTATTAGTATTATTTGAAGTTAACATTATAAAATACATAGACCTACACCACAAAACTAGTTGAGGATAAATTATTTAAAATTGAGCAATTTCAGCGTTATGGACGTGACATTTGTCAAAAATTCCCAGAAAATTATATATATTTTTATAAATAGGCCTAGGCTATGTGAATTACACTGCACAAACCCAAATTAATACTACCCACCGGATGAAGAAGGGTTGGCTCTCCCCAGAACATAAAATATTCATTTTATTCATTTTTATTTTCTGTATTCGCATTTATGAGGAAAAAAAATGTTACAGACGTGACAGTTCCCTGGTAGCGGCAGTAAACCTTTCATTTCTTTAAAGTGAATTTTGTTTTGTATTAATTGTATCTTAATTTTAATCAATGTTTCATCAACCAATTACCAGGATTTAATACATTAGAAATAAATATTGCAGACAATGGTGGAGTTTGTTTTTTCTTATATTCTCCTGTTGCTTTGATTACTATTTGTCAAGTATTAGGGCTATTTCCGATTCTTTGCTCATTTGTAATTGTTTATCTTGAATAAATATCTGTATTGTACGCGCCACGCCATCTGTATTGTACGCGCCACGCTATTTTGATTTTTTGCCGCGCACCTCAGGGATTAGAGTTTGTATTTTTTTAGCACTTAAGTAGCGCTCTTCAACAGCCAGTTGCAGCTCGTTTCGGTTTCGCCCATTCTCGGGTTATTGGCTTTTTGTGGTAATTGCAACGGCCGGCTGCAGCTGTTCTCACTCAGGTGATTGGAAGCACTATAGGTGTGCAGCGTGCGCGCTGTCGCGGAAGCGTTCAGCTGTCGTGTTCCTCCTCGTGCAGACCGACTCGGGTAAAGACCTGCGACTCTAACTGCGTGACTCCACCGAGCAAGGACACCTGCAAGGCACTTAAGTATCTCCTTCACCCTTTCCCTTCCTATATTTTACTTATTTCACTTAATCAATATGTGCTTTCAGTTTCAATATATTGCTGTTGTCTCTCGACATCGACCTCTCATCATACACAGAAGGCAGTGCAATACTGCTAATCTGCGCCCTATCCCCTTGTCCTCACACTCACCTCTCTCTCTTTCTATGGGTCTATGGAATTGTCAATCAGCAGTCAATAAAGCTGACTTCATTCCAGCCTTTACATCTCATTCTACTCTTAATATCCTGGACTTGACTGAGACCTGGATCCGTCTAGAAGACTCCGCAACCCCTGCTGCTCTCTCTAACAATTTCTCTCTTTCACACTCCCCGCCAGTCAGGGAGGGGTGGGGGTACTTGTCAAATTAAATCTTGTTCCTCATATAAAGCTAGCATGTCTCTTCAGAACCCAAAGACTTAACTGCTCAATTCATTTGGATTAGTTTTAATCTCATCAAGAACTTTTTGGAACATCAAAGTGGTAGTTGCATGGACTGTAAATGGAGGGACAGATTAAATAGATTAAAAGATCTTCATTTTTGTTTCGAAGATAAACGAAAGTTTGGTTTGAAATTGCATTAGTGTGAGTAAATGATGTCAAAATTTTCATTTTTGGGTGAATTAACCCTTACCTGAATACCTTACATGTATACCTTACCTGAAGGTGAATGCTAACATGCTAAAAAAATCTTAATTCACTTTTTAAACACTAATTAAATCTTAAATACAATATTCTAAATATCTACAGAGTATGTGTAATGTAAAGACTTCCATGGTGACAAACACACCTTAAGAAGGTTAGACGCAGCACGGAGGCTCATTCGGGCCACAGATTCTCTTTTTCTCCTCGGCAAGCGTGTGTAACCCGAGCGCTGGCTGGTGAATGAGCAGAGAGAGGTCACACCTGGGGTCCAAGGAGAATATGCTGTATGGGGTGTCCGTGGTCGCTCAGACTCTTCATAGCGGAACTGCCGCCCACGAGCCAAAGGATCCACAATCTTAAGAGCGACAGAGAACAAGATAAAAATGATTAAGTAGTGATGGCAATAAAATTAAAATACACACATATTAACTGACCACATGTCCTTAATATCTTATTAAAGGATTCAAAGCTACATAGAAACTTGAGCATCCATAAACTGAGTATATTAAAGCAATAAACCTTGCGAAGCTGTGATTTACAGTGAATTTAGAACAGTTAAGGGATGTTGTTAGGCACGATGCAGAGCAGAGGTTTGCAAAACCCCCTTAGCTGTTCTAAATTCACTGTAAAACATGGCTTCAAGGGGCTTATTGCTTTTATAAAACGGTTACTCCATAAAAATATACATTTCACTATTTATTTTATTCATAAATGTTACAAAAAATATAACACTATAATACATGTATCCCTCCGCCAAGCAATACAGTTCCAGAACAAAGAATCACAAATGGCAGTTGCGCATTAATACTAATGTAATGCGGTAACAGGTGTATGTTTGTAGAGTAAATTTACAACGGCTTCGAATGTGGCTCAACCAATCGGAATTAAGGACCGGAACCATCCGTTTTATAATAATATGTGCTTTGACTAATTTCACTCATGTTTAAACTGAAATTTTCAACAGACTAGTCTAAAAGTAAGAAACAGCCAGATGACAGTCAAAAACATTCTGTTTTAGTCAATAATTTTGGGGTGTAATGGACTAAAAAACTCACGGTATTAGGAATGTGACGTATCAAATTTTCATGTCACAATAATTGCAGAAGCTTTTATGACGGGATACGATATTAACACAATATTGAATAAGTTGCAAAAAAAGTGTCATCCTATAACAGATTTAATAACCTTTTTCATATAACAAAAAAGAACTCTGAACATTTAACTACAATAAAATAATGCACAACGATTGTAAGATTAAAGTGCAAAAGAAATATAAAGAACAATAGGTGACACCAGGAAGATGTTTTGGGTTGAGGGTGCATAAAGGTATATAAAGTATATAAATAAATAATATAAGTGAATATAATAATAATAATATTATTAATAATAATATATAAAATTAGTGCTGGGCAACGATTAATCGTGTTTGATAGCATTCAAAATAAAAGTCTGTGTTTACATAATATATTGTACTGTGTATAATTATTTTTTATGTAAACAATAAGGTATGAGAGGCTGTGCTCTATCGTGAATAAGTAACGGCTGAAGGGCATTGTTAGACACAACACAACAAACAGAGTGCCTGCAACCCATTCAGCCGTTACTTATTCACGATACAGCACTTGCCTCAAGTACCGTATTGATTTTATAAAACGCTTACCACACAATAAAAAAATTAAAGTAAAAAAAAAAAATTTATTAGTGCAACTTTCATGAAGTAAAATCACTAAAATCCTTCCTTCCGCTAGAAAAAAAATAGTCCCTGACCGTGAAAAACAACAACGCTCCAATGTGTAATATGCATTAGGCTCAAATAAAAACATGGGAACTGCAGTGTTGCGCAGTAATAAATAGAACTGTTGGGTGAAGCGGTCATAGCCATGTTTTATCATGAATAAAGCACAGCTATTGACCAATAAGAATCAAGGATTGGAACTAGCCATTTTATAAATATAAATACACACATATTCATGTATATACAGTATTAGTAAAATGTGTTATTTATACATAAAATATTTATATATAATATATAAAGGATAATAGGTTTGCAAAAAACACAAAATAAACCAGTTCAATTGCCAATGTATAAAAATGAGTGAGAGTTATCTGAAGCATTGAACTTTTTTCACGTTTTGATATTCATGACTTTTCAGACAAATTAAAGAACCTTACAGAGGAACAGGCCCAGGTTGAATCCATACCTTTCTCAATTACAAAGGAGGAGGTTAGGTCTGTATTTAAGAAAACTAAGGTAATTAAGAGTCCAGGACCAGATATAAATTACTGGGAGATTGTTGAAGTGCTGTTCAGAGCAGCTCTGTGGGGTGTTTGCTGACATTTTTTAGATGTCCTGGGAACATGGTACGGTCCCAATGGCTTGGAAGGAGTCTATTACAGTTCCAGTGGCAAAGGGCAACTCTGCAAGCACATTAAATGACTACAGACCAGTGGCATTGACTTCACTGGTCATGAAGTCATTTGAGACATTCGTAAAGCGGCTTCTGCTGTTCAGGGTGGGTGGGGGCCTGGATCCCAGCCAATTTGCATACAGGGCTAGCAGGGGGGTAGAGTATGTCCAGATTGCAATTTTAGATCATCTTTATAGACATTTAGAGGGTCCTGGTACACACACCAGGCTCTTGTTTTTTGGATTTTTACTACAGGTGGTGTCCACAGACGCCTCCACCTCGGGATGGGGAGCGCTGCACGAGGGCAGACCATTCTTCGGCCTATGGTCAGAACGAGAAAACCTCCTTCACATAAACTGTCTGGAAATGTTGGCAGTCGACAGCGCGCTGAGGAGATTCCGTCCCCGAATAAAAGGCTACCGGGTCTTAGTCCGCTCAGACAACATGTCGGTGGTATCCTACATAAATCGTCAGGGCGGCGTTAGGTCTCGAAACCTTTTTCAGACTGACAGGATGCATTCTGGTCTGGGCTCAGCACAATCTTTGCTCACTGAGAGCAGATCAGGTCTTTTCTCCAGCTTAAGTTAACACTTGTAAAACCAAGAATATGCTTATAGATTTTGTCACAGAATTCACACAAAAGGTAGATCCAAGTGCAGTTTTATTATATGGTAATCTGTATTCGTAGTCAGCCAGGCAAGGGTCAAAATCCATACAAACTGTCCAATAAACAAGAAACAAAACAAAGTGGAACAGGGAAGTGCAACACAACAGAAAACAAGGAATCCACAATGAACACAGAAACAGACAAAGTATTTATACACAGAGAACTAACAGGATGATGGGAAACAGCTGTGCACATTGATGAGATGAGTGCAGACAAAGGATTATGGGAATTGCAGTTCATGATGAGTGGGTGACGATATGGGAAAGAGACCTGTAGTGGACACCCAGGGAAAAACACACCAGACACTGTGACATAACCCCCCTCAACAGAGCGGCTACCAGACGCTCCACGACACAACTTCAAAGGAAAACTAGTCTAGGAGGGAGGTGGAACAGTGGAGGATCAGGGGGAGGGATGGGGGCCCAGGTCCATGGATGGGAACAAGAACAAGGGGCGACGGCTTAGCCGGTGGCCAGGGCAAAACCGAGAGCCCATTGGCTGGCCAGGGCAGAGAAGACAGTCCATCGGGCGGCCAGGGCGGAGAAGACAGTCCATTGGGTGGCCAGGGCGGAGAAGACAGTCCATCGGGCAGCCAGGGTGGAGAAGACAGTCAATTGGGTGGCCAGGGTCGGAGAAGACAGTCCTTCAGGCGGCAGGGGCGAAAAAGACAGTCCTTCGGGCGGCCAGGGCGGACAAGACAGTCCTTCGGGCGGCCAGGGCGGTGAAAACCCTTCGGGCAGCCAGGCCGGTGAAGACCCCTCGGGCGGCCAGGGCGGTGAAGACCCTTCGGACGGCCAGGGGGATGCAGGTTGTGCAGGCGGCCAAGATGGCGACATCACCTCTGGTGGCCAGGGTGGAGGCTTAGGAACAGACATCGGCTCAGAAACAGCAACAGAAGCCAGCTCAGAAACAGCAACAGACGCCGGCTCAGAAACAGCAGACACCAGCTCCGGAACAGGAACAGCAGACACCGGCTCAGGAACAGGAACAGACACTGGCTCAGGAATAGGAACAGACACCGGCTCAGGAACAGACACCGGCTCAGGTACAGGAACAGACACCGGCTCAGGAACAGGAACAGACATCAGCTCAGGAACAGACGACACTGGCTCCGGGTCAGGAACAGCAGACACTGGCTCCAGCTCTGGAACAGCAGGCACTGGCTCCAGCTCTGGAACAGCAGACAAGGGCATCTCCGGGATCTGAGCTAGATGTTCCAAATATTCAATCAGTGCCCTCGCGACCACGAGAATGGGCATCTCCTGATCCGTCTCTGACTGGGCAGATGTGATGTGAACCATTTCTGGCTGGGCAGACGTGGCCTGAATAGTCTCTGACAGAGCAGACGACACGTGAACGGTCTCTGGATCCGCAGACGTGACGTGACGCGAGTTCCCTCAAAGAGTTGCGGGTGAAAAGGATTTTTAGAGTAGATACTGCTGGATCTATTCATTGTGGATTCCTTCTGTCACGAAATGCACACAAAAGGTAGATCCAAGTGCAGTTTTATTATATGGTAATCCGTATCCGTAGTCAGCCAGGCAAGGGTCAAAAGGGTCAAAATCCATACAAACTGTCCAATAAACAAGAAACAAAACAAGTGAAGTACAACACAACAGAAAATGTACTCGGTTACAAACGTAACCTCAGTTCTCTCTCGAAGAATTATCCTTAATTTTGAAAATCAAAACGCGTTGCGGCAACATGCAGAATTAGGCAATAGGCTTGCCTATTGGCTGTCCTGCTGCAACTGCAGCAGCCTATCGAGAGCGGTCCTTTGGTGACAGTTCAAATGAGGACGCTTTGCGCCCATTGCGTCACGCTCCAGCCAAAGCGGGCATGGTCTAGCCCTGTAAACATGGGCTCGATGGGCTGATATTACTGGTTTTTCATCGCCGAAGTGAACCAGCGTGTAGCAGGCACGGCAAGATACGCAGTACTCGTTCCCTCTTCTAGAGAGAACTGAGGTTACATTAGTAACCGAGTACGTTCTCTTACGAGAGGTTCTCTCGTACTGCGTAATATCTTACGCTAGGGGAACACTATGCAAAACACCGTGCATGTAGGGATCCAACACCAAAGTCCCAAGGGGCAAGTGCCCAGGGCACATATAGTGCATAATCATCATGAACCCATGCTTCTGGAGGAGTGTGCTATAACACCTAAAGGGAAGTCCCTTTGTAGTGTATGCCATTGCTATGGTATCAACTATCCATCTGGATAGGGTCTGTTTCAAAGCGGCTAGGCCCTTAGCGTGACCGCTGAACAAAACAAAAAGCT